GACTTTGTTTATCTAAAATCTTAGTATACAGTAAGAACCTCACTGCTTTCAGGTGCTGAGAAATCAAAATATCTGAAGGCACTTTCTGGGGATTTGTCTGCAAAATGTAGTCAAGGTGTCGTGACTCTTTTTGAACTTGCGCCACGTGATCTTAAATGCAAAGAGAACCTTCGCCTCCCACACTCTTAAAAAATAGAAACTCCTTAGCTGAATAATCAAGCACTATTTTTTCACCCAAGATCTAATTTCCCCACCCCACTGCCCCCCCCCCCCCACACACACACATATACACACAAATACACACATAATCTCTCAAAAAAAACCCCAATAATTTGGTCTCTCAATCCATGACTGTTTGTGGGACAGTGCTGGGTCCATTTGGCTGCTACATTTCACCCACAAAGCATACATTCAACTTACTTTGCAGTATATTGTGTGAAGTGCTTTGAGATATCTCCAGAATGTGATATGGCGCTATATTAAATGCAGGGATTATTATTATAAGATTTCAAAAGGAAAGATTTCAGTGTCCCATCAAGAATCTTCCAGATTAATTGTTCATGTCTGTCTGCAATTGCACTAAATGGTTGTGACATTCATCTACCTCGAAACACTGGGAAGTTGTCACATCACTTCCCCACATGACCCTCTTCCTTTCTTGCCTTGTTTCAGAGCCCTGACTGACATCAGCATCCTGACTGGCTTCATTTACCTGCGTTATGTTGACATCTCCGTCAACTACCTTCAGGACATCAGCCCTCTGTCCAACCTAAGCAATCTCCTGTGGATCCAGGGAGATGAGAACCTCCTAACCAGCGCCCAGCTCAGCGATCTGCCTTACCTGCAGGTGGCCAACTTCGCCAACAATCACATCAAGGACACTGAGGGCATTGGCCACCCCCTCCTGAAAACCCTCAACCTCACCGGTCAGCGCCTTGCACACTGCTCCTCTCCTCCCTTATGAGCTCCAACCAAATTTAAATCTCTTTAGAGCATCCAGGGCGAAATACGCCAAGGATCCATCCTTAATGCTAAGTGACACATAAATCAGAGTTGTCTCAGGTTCCATTACTGGTACCGAGTCTCACAAAGCAGGATAGTCCCGGCTTCCATTCCCAGTACCGTACATTGTAGAACAGAATAATCCCTGGTTCTACCTCCATTCCTGAGTCACTCAGACACTGGGACAGTATTGGACTCATTCCCTGGTGCTGAGCTGAATGGAGTAGGATGGTCCATGATTCCATCTTTGATGCTTAGCCACACACTTTATTGCTAAGACACATACAGAACTTTTTCCATCAGCACCAACATGGTGCTCCAAGGCCTGCTCCAGTCAAGGCTCTGTTTGTGCTGATGTAATAATAGCAGCCAACCCAGAACAGAAAGGATGAGATTGTTTTATCGATCTTCTCTCACTGCACCCCTGACAATGCTACACTAATAATTACCCTCCTTGGTGGGAGGAGATAAGTGGATTCTCCTTGAACTGAACTAGCGCCAAGGTGACGTTCATGACAATGGAAGGTCCAAATAATGCCAACCATCTGTGCCAGTCTTGGTATCCGGTTCATGAGCCAGATGGTTTCATAGTACCTGAAGACACTGCTGATGATAGAACAACCAACCCTGGCTGTTTGGCAGGGCTTGGGCGGGGTAGGCTGGCTACTGGTGGCAGGAATTCTTTCCCCCGGACTCCCGTGTTCCTGCAAGCTAAAGCCCGAATTGGTCAGATGAATCTTGCAGGACAAGCAGTGATAAGCGTGCCACACAAAATGTTTATTGGCAAGCTAAGCTGTTGTTAGCTGTTTAGACTCCAGCAGTGACCACAATGCACCCTATGTGTGGTCCACAAGCCTGGGTTCTTACCAACCTGTGCGTGATACTCTCTGGATTTAGATAAGCAGTGCGCCTTACTCCAGGAACTGTTAGCGCATTCCAAGAAGAGATAGCACATTCCATTCCGTATGAAAAATGTTCCATCCATTGGTGACATACATGTGGAACTGTTAGTCTGCTTTGGAATACTATTATATATGATGACAGATTTCCTTGTGTGTCAGACGCACTGTTGACCAAAACATATGTTGCATGGGATAAGTGGAGTTCTGTAGCTCAGAGGTTAGAGCGCTCGCCTCGCAAGCAAGAGTCCCGGGTTTGATTCCCGTTAGAGCGAAACCTTGGGCAAGTTTCCTTACTCCACATGTCTGATAGCAATTCCTCAAGAAAAAAAAATAATAATTTGGTCACTCAATCCACAACTGTTTGTGGGACACCGCTGTGCGCAATTGGCTGCCGCGATTTGCCCACAAAAATATGCAATCAATTCACTTTACAGTATGTTCTGTGATGCGTTTTCAGACGTCTAAAAGAAGTGAAAAGTGCTTTATCAAATGCAAGGATTAATATTATTATAAGAGCAAAGGTCCGAGTACAAAAAGTGATAAAGAAAACATAAATATTCAGAGAAGAAAAAGGCTTCTAAGAAGTAAACACAAAAAGTGTGAGAAAAAGGAGGCATATGGACAGGGTGAGGACAGTTACCTGAGTAAGTGTTCTCTACATGAATGCACATAGCATAAGAAATAATCAAGTGAGTTAAAATTCAGTTGAAAGGTTATGATGGAGTAGCCATTACACAGACAAGCTGGGCATGAATTGGAGCTAAATATTCCAGGCTACAAAATCTTTAGAAAGGACAGGGAAATTGGGAAAGGAGGAGGTGAGGAATATTGATAAAAGACACAATGATAGCAGTACAAAGAAAGTATTTCAGTAAGGGGGATTGGGCCGTGGAAACACCTATGGGTATAATTAAGGAAAAGCAAAGGTGGTAAGTCTCTGTTGGGAGTTTTTTACAGACCTCCAGATAGTAGTAGCGTAGTGGTGGATGTATAAATACAGAGATCAGGGAATTATGCAGCAAAACCAATGTGGTTATAATGGGAGATTTTAATTTTCACATCGACGAGGAGAAACAGAATAGCTTAAGTAGGCAAGGCAACACTAGCTCAGTGGTTAGAGCACTCGCTTTGCAAGCGAGAGACCTGAGTTCAATTCCAGGCAGAGGGCGAAACCTTGGGCAAGTTTCCTTACTCCACACAGAGCCTTAAATAATAAATCCCCTCCAAAACCAAAACAATAATAAAATTGGTCATTTCAATCCACGACTGTTTGTGGGACATTGCTGTGCGCAATTGGCTGCCGCGTTCGCCCACAAATATACAGTCAATTCACTTTACAGTATATTCTGTGAAGCGCTTTGGGACGTCCTCCCGACGTGAAAAGCGCTATATCAAATGCAAGGATTATTATTATTATTAACACGTTTCTAGAATCTATTTAGGACACTTTTCTACAACAGTATGTTTTAGAACCAACGAGGGAACATGCCATACTTGATTTGGTGATGGGTAATGAACCAGAATTAATTAACAATCTGACGGTAAGGGCACATCTTGCAAATAGTGACGGCAATATGATTGAATTTGATATAACATTTGTGAGGGAGAAGGAAGGGTCGCAAACCAATATTTTAAATTTAAATAAGGCAAACTTTAAAGGGATGAGAAATGAATTGGGCTGAACTGTTAATGGGTAACACAGTGGGAAGTATTTGGTACAATACAAGCACAGCACATACCCCTAAAACACAAAAGCTCCACTTGTATAGTTGAACACCCATGGTCACAAATTAGGGAAGAGGCAGCAGCAAACTAACAGAAAAGGCTTACACTAATGCAAGAAAAAGTGGAAATCCATTGGACTGGAGCAGCTATAAAAAGCCACAAAGAGATACAAAAAAGTGATAAGAGGTGCAAAAAGAAAAAAAAACTTGCAAGGGCTATCAAGGGCAATAGTAAAAGTTTTTATATATAAAGAGAAAGAGATTGGTAAAAGGGAATGTGAGCCCATTAAAGCCCATTAAATATAGTAGGTGAGACTATATCGGACAATAAGGAAATGGTAGACTTGTTGAATGAATACTTCGCTTCCATTTACACAGTAGAGAGTTTTCAGCACTTTGGGACATCCTCCCGGCGTGAAGGGCACTCTATAAGTGTAATTTTGTTGTTGTTGTCTCGAAGATGTGCAAAGCTCTATATCAATTGCAAGGATTATTATTGTTGTTGTTGTTGTTTGAGGAAGAGGACTAAATACCAGCAAAGGGAATACCAGGAAAAACAAGTGAACCTAAAAATAAGCCAAACAGAAGTATTAAATAGATTTCATATATACTTTAAAAAATGGAAATGCAGAAAGTAATGGGACTAAAGATAGACAAACCTCCAGGATCTGATGATTTCCACCCCAGAGTATTAAAAGAAGTGCTTTACATTTGGTAATTGTGCCCTTGTATTAGAAAATTGCAAATGTCCCGCCATTATTTAAGAAGGAGGGAGGGAAAAAAAACAATAAGTACAAACCTGTCAACTTAACTTTAGTTTGTGGGGAAGTTACTGGAATCTCTCATCAGAGACAGAAAAACAACTGTCCACTACCTCTGCTTTCTGTCTCCCAGTCCGTTCTTTATCCACGCTGCCACTGTGCCTTTATACCGTGCGCTTCTATTTTGCTTACTAGTCTCTTATGTGGCATTTTGTCAAACGCCTTTTGAAATCCATATAAATCCATATAAAACGACCTTCTCCACTGTACTGTTCATCCTCCTTCTGCATAACTTCATCAAAAACTCTTATCGAGTTAGACACGATTTCCCTTTAGCACATCCGTGTTGCCCGACCTTTATTTTTCCAAGTGAAAATTTATTTTGGACCGGTTTATAGTCTCTAGAAGTTTCCCCACTACTGACGTTGGGCTGACTGGCCTGTAGTTCCTGGATTTATCCTTCTGCTCCTTTTTGTATAGGGGAGTAACAGATGCCTGTACTTAAAAGGTTAAAGCATGAGGCCAAGTTGCATAAACTTGGGGTGTATTCCCTTGAATTTAGAAGGCTGAGGGGTGATCTTAGTGAGGTTTTGAAAATATAATAATCCTTGCATATTATATAGTGCCTTATCACGTTTTCGAGACATCTACAAAACGCATCACAGAATAATAATAATAATAATAATAATCCTTGCATTTGATATAGCGCTTTTCACGTCGGGAGGACGTCCCAAAGCGCTTCACAGAACACACTGTAAAGCGAATTGACTGCATATTTTGTGGGCGAAATGCAGCAGCCAATTACACAGAGCAGTGTACCTACCACAAACAGTCGTGGATTGAGTGACCAATTTTTTTTTGAAGGAATTATTACCCCCAGAAAAGTGATCCACCAATCGACCAACAACCAGGTTCCTGTTTACTGCTGGGGTATGTGGTGCAAGGAAACTTGCCCAATGTTTCACCCTGCTGGGAATCAAACCCGGGTCTCTCGCTTGCCATGCAAGTGCTCTAACCACTGAGCTATAGGACTCCACAAAGGAATTCGATTGGGTAGCTACGGAGAAACTATTACCTCTGGTGGCAGAACCAAGACTGAGACTGATAGATTTTTTTAAAAAAATAGTGATTAGGGGATATGGGGATAGGGCAGGTAATTAGAGTTTGGTCAGAAGATCAGCCATGATTTTATCGAATGGCGGGGAAGGCTCGAGGGGCCGAATGGCCTACTTCTGCTCCTAATTTATCTTCTGATGTAATCCAGAACAAGGGAGCAGCATCTGAAAATTAGAGCTAAGCCATTCAGGAATGAAATCAGGAGGCAGTCTTTCACCCAAAGGGTAGTAGAAAATTGGAACTCTCTCCCCCAAAAGGCTATGGATGTTGGATCCATTCAAATTTTCAAGACTTAGGTGGATAGATATCTGTTAGGTCATGATATCAAGGGATATGGGGCAAATGCGGTTAATTGGAGTCGAGGTACAGATCAAAATGATCTTATAGAATGGCGGAACAGGCTCGAGGGGCCACCTCCTGTTTCTATGTTCCTGGAAGGATCTCTGATATTCTCCTATATGTTTATGTGCCTGTCAGTTGAACAATTTTCCTTTCATGTTTTTTGTCTTGTTTTACTTCAGGAAATGAAATCGATTCAATCAGTCTGGATGAAAATAAACTGACCAATCTGCATACTCTACAGATGGGAAAGAACAGACTGGAGAACACAGCTGGACTTTATTTTCCAACCCTCGTGAAGCTATATCTGGTAACACAGTGAGAGATGGCGGAAAAATCAGGGCTGAACCTCACACAGAGCAGAGGGAACTGGACTCCAAGCATAACTGCAGTGATATGGGTTGGATATTTCCTAAGTGTTTGTTTATTAGGGAAACAAACAAATTTGGAGTCCTCTAGCGTATTGGTTATAGCAAGTGAGAGAACCATGGGCAAAATATTGGATAAGTTTCCTTACTCCCCACGTCTCTGTTTACCTAGCAGTAAGTAGGAACCCGGTTGTTATTCAATTGGAGGATCACTTTTCTGGGGGTAATTATCCCTTAAGGAAAAAAAATGTTTTTGATCACTCAATCCACGACTGTTTGTGGGACACTGCTGTGTGCAATTGGCTGCTGTGTTTGGCTCACAAAAATACAGATAGTTGACTTTACCATATATTCTGTGAAATGTTTTGAGACGTCTTGAAGATGTGATAAGGAGCTTTATCAAATGCAAGGATTATTATTATAAATCAGTCGCCTGTGTACTATCTGGGGCCTTGTCTGTGCTTGGAGGTGTGCACATCATGTGAGGGACAATCCATGGTTACCATCCGAGTTTTTCTACCTGTGAAAAATGGGCGACTGGCAATAAGGCACAGGAGCCAGCAATCAGTATCCACATATCCCAGTGGGAGGGAAGCCAGTACTGATATCAATTATATGGTTCTCCCTGGAACACTCTTCCTCTATCCCTCTGCCTTGTCCCTTCCTTCCCCATCTTCAGGTCGCGGTTGAAGACCTTCCTCTTCGACCTTGCCTATGCACCGCCTCCTCCCCCTGGCTCGGCTTCCTGTTCCGCCATTGTCACGCGCTCCGGGACACTACCCTGTGCGAGGTGTGCTACATAAATGCAAGTTGTTGTTATTCTGAGAGACACTTGTCCAGATACTGATATTATCCTGAGAGAAGACTGGCAAAAATCAATTTCTCTCACGAAGGGAGAAGCTAACTACAGACACCAGTTAGGGCACAGATATCTCTCTAAGGCACACAATGAATAAATCAGTCTCTGACCCTTTTCTCTCTCCGTGTCTCAGGCAGGCAATAAGATAACTAACATTGTGGGGCTTGACCGTTTAGAAAACCTGCAGATCCTGCATCTTCGAGACAACTTACTGGAACACCTGGATGGATTTACTGCCAAAATGAAGTCCTTAAATTACCTGAACCTGAGGTAAGGAAGGAGCAGAAGTGCTGAAGGGGATGTGGCCTGACATGAATCCACCTGTTAAAACATAAGGACGGGAGATGATTGAGAAGGAGATACAATGAATAAAGATGTAGTGGAGTGGAAGCATTGGCAACAGCATTTGGGGAAGATTAAATGGGGTGGGGGTTGTGGGAAATATAGTTAAAGAGAAGGAAATAGTGCAAAAAAAAAGCCCCTAAGGTGCATGAAATCCTTTTTCATTAGAATCCCCATATTCCACCTATCACACGATAGTCAGATCTCCCTGGTGTGGACTTGACTGAGGAATCAGAAGAATAGAGAAAAAAAAAGGCCAGGGTCAATTGGGGGAGAATATTTATCTAGATCAAATATTCCCCCCAGATTCCCAAGGGAAAATAATGTGAGTCCCAGGAGAGGCTGATGCCGAGAGCACTGTTCAATACAACAACAAATTGCATTCATATAGCGCCTTTCATGCGGGAGTGGGGTCCCGGAACTCCTTTCACGTATCTCCAATATCCTCTTCTTAACCCAGTGGCACCACAGCAGCTTCTCCTATGCCTCTGCATCTATGTGGGGACCCAGAAATAGATACAGTCCTGAAGGTGCGGCCTCACCAAAGGCCAGTGCAATGTCGGATAGACTTTTTATGTTTGTAAGATTTGAGGTGGGGAGAGGGTTTGTCACGTCGACTACTTCTTTCCTTCAAAATGTTCTGACTTCACACTTGGTGCATGGGTGAGAACTGAAGCTCTGCTCTTTACTCCAGGGGGAATGCTGTGGCAACCATGCCCGAGCTGAGCAATTTAAAGCATCTGCCATCTCTCAAAGCTCTGGTCTTGGTCGGTAAGTAATGATTACATGTACACACGCTCACTTTCCTCTGCTTTAATGCCCAGCAAAAGTCACTTAATGTACTTTCCTTCACTGGTTCAGAGGGCGAGGTAAGCCACAGAAGAACCAGTCAATAAATCAATTTGGAGGATTGTCGGACAGGATAAGGCAGAGATTTTTTTGCAACAGACAGCATCCGCCTCATAAGTGAGTGGTCCTGGGTTCGATTCCCAGCAGGGCAAAATGTTGGGCAAGTTTCCTTACTCCACATGCCTCTGCTTACCAAGTAGTAAGTAGGAACCCAGTTGTTATTCGATTGGCGGATTGCTTTTCCGGATCCCTTATATATAAAAAAATTATAATAATTATTTGGTCACTCAATCCATGACTGTTTTTGTGTGACACTTGCTGTGTGCAATTGGCTGCCGTGTTTCACCTACAAAATACACAGTCACTTCACTTTACAGTATATTTTGTGAAGCGTTTTGAGATGTGATAAGGCTCTATATCAAATGCAAGGATTATTCTTATAGAAGGGATGGATTCAAGAGGATTGAAGAAGGAGTAATATTTATAAATCATTAAAGGTGGTAGGCAAAGTTAACCAAGCTTTAAGCATCCGCCAGAATGCTACTTTTTATAAATAAGCACTTAGAATATAAAATAAAAAGGGTAATGCTAAACCTGAATAAATTATTACTTGGACCAGTTTTGATAACTCACCATATATAGGAGGTCAAATCCATGGAGAAGGTTTAGATTAGATTCATTAGATAAGATTCCATGTGTCACAAACTCAAGTCCAACAGTCCTTACTAAGTTTTACATGATCAGTTTAAACCTGACCCAAACCCAACTGATACACATTAACTTGTGCAGTCCTGTAGCTTAGTGGTTAGAGCACTCACCTCGCAAGCAAGAGGACCTGAGTTTGATTCCCGGCAGGGAGAAACATTGGGCATGTTGCCTTCCTCCATACGCCTCTGTTCACCTAGCAGTAAGTGAGGACCTGGTTGTCAGTCGATTGACGGATCACTTTTCCGAGGATAATCCCACCAAAAACAAATTATAATATTGATTTGGTCACTCAATTAACGACTCATTGTGGGACACTGCTGTGTGCAATTGGTTGCCATGTTTCCCCCACAAACTAGACAGTCAATTCACTTTCCAGTATATTTCTGTGAAGCACTTTGAGACATCTCAAAGATGTGATATGGTGATGGATGTTTGGCGATGGAATGGCAGAGTTGAGTCAGCCCTCTATGGCAGTTTGAGTAACCAAGTTCCTGAGCTACACAGGTCTGCTAATGACAGCACAGCCAGCCTGGCTCATCAGCAGGACCTAGAAGGGCAGACCAGTTGGGTCAGGTAGACCACTCAGCTCCTGTTAACAACAACAACTTGCATTTACATAGCACCCTTCATGCCACACAGCGTCTCAGAGCGCTTAACCCTGCAAGCCAAAGCCCTAATGGGTAGAGTGGTCTTACCTGGATGAGCAGCGGAAAAGCTTGCCAGACAGCGATATCATTTGCAAACTATGCGGTTAGCTTCCAGCAGTTACCCCAACACACACTATGGGGTCCCGAGGTCTTGGCTCTTATTGCACCTAATACTCCTAATAAAATTGGGTAAGCAGGATGCCTCCAGGATGCATGGAACTCTCAGTTGGTTTGGATATGGTGATGGGTTTCTGCATGTGTCAGTCATCTGGCTGACCAAAAAAAGATAAGTTTGGTTCTGATAAAAAAGGCCCTTTGGCTGTCATCACATCATCCTTCCAAAACACTCCCCCTACTCTCCTTCCATCACAGCATCAAACTGCTTTTAAAACTGGTCCAGGTCCCTGGCTCAGATAAGGTATGAGATATTTCACTCTTGTTTTATTTAAATAATCTCTTCAGAAAACCCCTGTGCGGAGCTGGAGGCATACAGGCTGGACATTCTGATCATTCTGCCTACGTTAGAGAGACTGGACAAAACTCAGGTCACTTATGAGGAACGGATGGAGGCTGATGAGCTGTTCAGAGACCGGATTGGGGAATAGCATGAGAAAGAGGTATCCGAGAGAAGAAGCACATTGGCTGTTCAGCAATAGATATAAAGTAGTACAGAGAGAGATCCTGTTCAGTGTTGTAAATCCTATCGTGTTTATACACTAATTTTTCTCCTCTGTCGCTGACACCTGCACAGATGCACATTCCACCCCCAAGAGTATGTTGTTTGACGGCCAATCGTCTTACCAAGCTCCACATTGTGATCCTATCTCACTAAACTTAGCCTAACCTCTGCAACATTGGGTACCTCTACCAATAACTCTCCCAGGCTCCTCAGACCCCTATTCAAGCTTTCGTCACGTGCAGGTTACACTATTTCAGTGCACAACGTGAAAGGCACTATATATATATATAAATTGTATTACATGTGCTATTGGATTGGCAGTAGCATTCCTGTTAACCGTGTGATTAACACACCATTGATACAGTGACTGGAAGGAGATATGATGCAGTGTTACAGAACACTTGGAATACTGTGTGCAGTTCTAGTCATCGAATTATAAAAAGGATAATGCAGTGATTGATAGGATACCGAGAAGGACACCAAAAATTGTTGAGGGGATGAAGGGACTGGACTAGGAGGAGCGATTAGATAAACTGGGCGTGTTCACGCTGGAGAACAGAAGGTTGGGGGTGATATGATTCCGGTCTTTAAGATTTTGAAGGGAATAGTTAATCTAGTCCATGATAAGCGATTTTATTTTGTGCTGAACAGTGGAACCAGAGGACAAGGCCTGCAATTGAAGGGGTTAAATTCAGAACAAATCTTCAGTGATTGAGCAGTAAACTTGTGGGACAGGCCCCCTTAGGGTGGAAGCCGAAAATGTTGTTCATTTCAAGAATACATAAGATAGATTTCTGCTAGAAAATAATAACTCGGGACAGTGTTTAGTTTGGGTGGGCATTACATGTCAAGCAACTGCCAGGATGGTGGAAGGCGCACAAGGTGGACCTTGGTTGTCCTTCACCAGCAAATTCTTATGTTCTTATGTTGTTATGTAACACTCGAATTCTGACCTGTTTTATGTTACTGCAGGAGCTAGATTTGGACAGTGGAAAGTAGGCAGAAAACTACGAGCGATAGGACTGAGTGATGCAATGCTCTTCACCACTAACATCTAATGACATCCATCTCCTGATGTTCCAGGCTATTCTCTATCTCTTGCTCTGCAGATAAATGCTTTCAGTGCTCTGAGACACAATCCTGGGTGAACCTCATTATAAAGAAGCAAGTTATTTGTTATTGTTCAAATTTTATTCTGCTGATTAAAATATTTTTTTTAATTTCCGGGGGGCAGGAGATAAACCTAGCCCAGGACAGAAGGGGTGAGGCTTGTTCTCTGGTGGGCAATTTGCTGCTGCAAAGTCCGCACACAGTCATCAAACTTCTCTTGCTCTTTCATTCTACAGGACAACGAGACTTGAATGTACCCCGCCCCAACCACCCTACCATCGGTGGCTGGGCCTTCAGCCTCTCAGCCCCTAGGCTCTGGAACTCCATCCCTCAGTGCCTTCGCCGCCTTCTCCCTTTCCTCCTTCAAGGCCGGTCTCAAGACCTTTCTCTTTGACCGTGCCTTCAGCTCCCCTCTCGACTCTCTTCCCCCTCCTCGCTCCCTCCCTTCCCTCCCCTCACCCTGACCATTTCCCCCCTCCTCGCCCCCTCCCTTCCCTCCCCCTGACCATTTCCCCCTTCCTCACTCCCTCCCTTCCCTCCCCTCACCCTGACCATTTCCCCCCTGCTCGGGTCCTGACCCAACTGTCCAGCGCTTTGGGACGTCCTCCCAACGTGAAAGGCGCTCTATAAATGGAATCTTGTTGTTGTTGTTGAGCAGTTTTACCAACCAAAGTGTTGATGCTATCTCAGGCCAAGATATGTTTGTTGGTTGGTTAGCCTGACTGGATTGTGGGTGGGACCTTGCTGTGCGCAAAATAGCGATTATATAAACAACCTGTGGTTTTCTCAGTAATTCAAGTGAAGATTTGTGATATTTGGAGAAATGAGCTACTGTAAAATTGTAAGTTGTTCATCTGTTGGTGGAAGCCAACCTGTCTAGCTCATGGAGATTCCCTGATGAAGTCAACACTGTGCCCTTCCCTGAAGGGAGAAATCCCCAACTGGATGAGTTGCTCCGGATCACAAATATTTGCAGTCATCAGCAGAAACTCTCTTGACAGCCCGGCCTGGCTCATCGGTAGGACCTGGAAGGGCAGACTCATCGGTAGGACCTGGGAGCAGCGATTCCTCCCACTCAACTCCTGTTAACCCTGCAGCCAAAGCCCTAATGGATAAGGTGGTCCTAGCTGGACAACAACAACTTGCGTTTATATAGCGCTCTTCACACTGGACGGTGTCTCGGAACTCTTAAAAGTGCCAGAGCCCGATGCCAAGCCAGGGAGAGGGGGAAGGTGACTGTAGGCAAGGTTGAAGAGGAAGGTCTTCAAGTGCGATCTGAAAATGGGGAAAGAGAGGACAAGATGCAGAGTTTGAGGGAGAGAGTTCCACAGCTTTCGGGAGTTGTGGCTGAAAGCATGGTTGGCAATGGTGGGGCTTAGGGTTCGGGTCACAAGGAGGAGGCCGGAGCCAGTCCAACAAAGGCAGTGGGTAGTAGTATAGGGAGAGAGCAAGTTGGAGAGATTGGGGGGGTGCCAGGGTGTGAAGGGATTTAAGAGTGAGAATCTTGAAATCGATCCACTCTGTGACTGCGAACCAATGGAGTTTGACAAGCACTGGGGTAATGGAGGTATGGAGTTTAGGCACTGACAGCATCATCATCCAAGGATACACACTCCACCTTATTGATCCAGCCCAGAACCTTGGAGTCTTGTTTGACCCTCAACTGTCCTTTCTACCCCACATCCGTGCCATGACCCGCTTGGACTTCCCTCACCTCCACAACATCATCCGGCTCTGCCACTACCTACCCCTCAGCCCACCAAAACCCTCAACCACTCATTCATCACAGCAAGGCTTCACTACGCAAACTCTAAGAACATAAGAACATAAGAATTAGACGCAGGAGTAGGCCATTCGGCCCCTCGATCCTGCCCCGCCATTCGATAAGATCATGGCTGATCTTCAGACCTAACTCTAATTACCTGCCCTATCGCCATATCCCCTAATCCCTCTATTTTATAAAAAATCTATCAGTCTCAGCCTTGAAGATGTTCAAGGACTGAGCATCTACAGCCTTCTGGGGGAGTGAATTCCATAAATTCACTACCCTCTTGAGTGAAGAAGTGTTTCCTCAACTCTGTTCTAGAAGGCTGACCCTTAATTTTAAGACTGTGACGCCTGGTTATAGATTCTCCTACTTGTCGGCCTTCCAAACTCGGCCCTACACAAACTGCAGATCATAGACTCATACAGCACAGAAAGAGGCCATTCGGCCCATCCCATCTGCGCCAACTCCTAAAAGAGCAATCCAACTCAGTCCCACTGGCCCGCTTTCTCTCCAGAGCCCTGCAATCCTGTCCTCCCCAAATACCCATCTACTTCTCTCTTAAAAGTTGTTATTGAATCGGCTTCCACTACCCTTTCAGGTCATGCATTCCAGAGCCCAACAACTCGGTGGGTGAAAAATATTTTCCTAACCTCCCTCTGTTTTAACGATTGTCTTAAATCGTTATCCTCGGGTTACTGACCCACACGCCAGTGGAAACACTTCTTCCCGGTTCAACCTATCAAATCCTCTCATGATCTTGAAAACCTCTATTCAACCCCCTCTTAATCTTCTCTGCTTTAGGGAGAATAATCCTAGTTTCGCTAACCTCTCCTCATATCTGAGGTCCTTCATTCCTGGTAAACCTCCTTTGCACTCTCTCCAATGCCCGAACATCTTTCCTAAAGCGCAGTGCCCAGAACTGAACGCAGTACTCCAACTGAGGCCTAACCAGCATTTTATAAATATTCAACATAACCTCCTGACTTTTGTATTCTATGCCCCTATTTATAAAACCTAATATCCCGAATGCTTTTTTTAACAGCTTTATCTGCCTGTCCTGCCACCTTCAGAGATTTGTTTATGTGGACTCCCAGGTCTCTCTGTTCATTTGCCCCCTTTAAGATTGTACCATCAGCTTAGTATCGGCTGCAAATTTGGAAATTGTGCTCCTTCTATCCAGATCTTTACTTTAGATCAAAAAGAGCAGTGGTCCCAATACCGGCCCCTGAGGGACACCACTCCACACCTTCCTCCAGTCGGAAAAGCAACCGTTTACGAGCACTCTCTGCTTTCTCTCCCAGCCCCAGCTCTGGATCCATGTTGCCACAGTCCCTCTAATACCGTGGGCTTCTATTTGTTTAAAAGTCTCTTATGTGGCACTTTGTCGAATGCCTTTTGAAAATCCAGATAAACTACGTCTACCGCACTACCTTCACCCGCCCTCTCAGTCACTTCATCCAAAAATTCTGTTAGGTTTGTCAGACGCGATCTGCCTTTGACAAATCCGTGTTGACTGTCCTTTATTAAACCATATTTTTCTAAGTGAGGATTTATATGGTCTCGGATTGTAGTCTCCAGGTGTTTTCCCCACTACTGATGTTAGGCTTGCAAAGCGAGTGCTCTAACCGCTGAGCTGCAGGACTCGTCCGCACTAACCTCTCTGCCTTTACTGCTCGCTTGTCCCATTCCTGCTCCTGCACCGGCTGTACTTTCCCGTCCTCCAGCCCACGATGCTCGGCTGTCTTCTGGTGACGAGCGGGACCGCAGCGGGTCGCGGCACCAGCCTGCGAAGGTCCACATTAAAAAAAGTTAACCAAATGTATGGCACAATATCGTAAAATATGAGAAAGAGGGCCGCATTTCACCCACACAATATACAGTCGATTCGTGGCCGAATGTTGCCCTGATCGTAACTTGTGGAAAGCGATGTGTTTCTGAAAAGAAATGTCAGCAAAAATGAATCAATATTACGGTGGAAGCCGGTGTCCACACGGAGCGGGAGCCCAGCGAGCAGTGCCTACAATCCACCCGAACCACAGGGGGGTACAGTGTCACCCCCT